TCCTGTGGGACAAAGTCACGCATGGTTGAAAATCACAGCTTTAAGAAATGGTTAATATAAGGAACTACATATAAGGGTGGTCTGTGTTACTAAAGAAACAGCAACAAAAGTTATTGGTACTAGTATGTTTTAATACTTTCATGAAAATTACTTTAAAATTTCATGTTATGTAAAAGTTTATATCTCTTAGAGAACTGTTTTTTTAGATGGAATCTGTCATGCTTCTGTTTTTTTCATTGGCTGCTAGGAAACTCAGCTAAGTTTGCATTAGTTATGGTGACTTTACTTGGGGGATTTTATTAGTTACTTGGCTGTTCTTTGATATTGTATATATCAATATCGTTGTTGTATCTAAATGCCTTATTATGAACTATTGAAAAGAACAGATGTACATTGTAGGTATGTAAAAAAAAAATCCTGTTCATTTTAAATGGCTATTTAATAGGTAGTGGGTTAGCTAATTGAGTTTGCTAGAATGCTGGAATTTTTTTTTCTTGCAAATTATTAGTAATACCTTCAAATGGGAGCTAAAAATGGTTTAGTTTGAGGTTGAAAAGTTAAGGAGTAGTAAAATATGGTGAAATATGAATGGGAAAATATGCTTGGAGGGTATTACGCAGTTTCATAGTCTAATGCTTATAACATAGAAAGAGGTGGGGTGAAGAAATTTCATGCATTTCCCTCTCCCTCTCTGACCCTCCCCTGCTCATGCTGTCTCTCTCTCTCTCTCTCAAAAGTAAATATATATATATATAAAAGGGGGCGCCTGGGTGGCTCAGTCGGTTAAGCGTCCGACTTCAGCTCAGGTCATGATCTCACGGTTCGTGGGTTTGAGCCCCACATGGGGCCCTGTGCTGACAGCTCATAGCCTGGAGCCTGCTTCAGATTCTGTGTCTCCCTCTCTCTCTCTGACCCTCCCCTGCTCATGCTGTCTCTTTCTCTCTCTCAGAAGTAAATAAAATATTTAAAAAAAAAAAAAGAAATTTCATGCATTTTAGGATTTTTATATTACAGTAATATTAGTACATATGGTATATTATTTATTAGTGTATTATTAATATAGTAACATGTTTATATGCTGTAGTGGATATATATGTATTATATATAGTATATTATAGATAATGTTGCCCAGAACTGTTATCCTGGGATATATTACATGGGAGAAGTATGATTAGACTTTGGAGAGGAGATACCCATAGTGGCTTTAAAGTTGTCATCACTTACTAGCTGGGCAACTCTAGGTAAGATTCTAAATGCTTGTAAACCTTAAATTAAAATTTCTTACCTGTAAAGTGAAGTTAATAATAGTATTGCCTGTTTCAGAGAGTTTAGGAGAATAAACAGTGTACATAAAGCTCTTAGCTCAGTACCTGGCCTGTACTAAGTTAACTGTTAGCTGTCATTTAACCTTTATTTAAAATCGTTCATAGATTAATGAGCGTTAGTGTATCGGTTTCCATTTGGAGATGTGAATATATGTATGTGTGTATGTATACAGAGTTTTAAAAATCACATAATCCTAAATTTTTCACAGATTAATTAAAACTTAAAATTATCTTTATAATTGAGTCTCAAGAAATTCTTTTTTTTGACCAGTAGCTTAAGATAAAACTAAGCATTAACCGGGGCGCCTGGGTGGCTTAGTCGGTTAAGCAGCCGACTTTCGCTTAGGTCATAATCTCGTGGTTCATGGGTTCGAGCCCCACGTCGGGCTCTGTGCTGACTGCCAGCTCGGAGCCTGGAGCCTATTTCAGAGTCTGTGTCTCCTTCTCTCTCTCTAACCCTCCCCTGTTCACGTTCTCTCTCTCTCCTAGAAATAAATTAAAAAAAAAAAACTAAGCATTAACCGTCTCATTGGAACAAAGAATTCCAATAATATAAAACGTGGTGATTTGGGAATATTTTACATGTTTAAGATATAGTGCATTATTTCCATAGGATATCTGTTACATATAAAACTCAAAATTGAAAGAAATAATGTGAGGAACATTTGTTACACGTTCTCTTAAAAACACTTTTACAAAACATGTTACAAAATTAAGACAATAAGGGGTGCCTGGGTGGCTCAGTCGATTAAGTGTGACTTTGGCTCAGGTCATGATCTCACAGTTCGTGGGTTTGAGCCCTGTGTTGGGCTCTGTGCTGACAGCTAGCTCAGAGCCTGGAACCTGTTTCAGATTCTGTATCTCCCTCTCTGACCCTCCACTGCTCACGCTGTCTCTCTCCTCTCTCTCAAAAATAAATGAACATTAAAAAAATTTAAAAAAAATTCAGACATTAAAATCTTTGTGTATGTAATATCACACTTTGTAGTGCATCTTAGCATCAAAATGATTTATGTAAGAGGAAGAATAATTTTTAATCCATGTAGTAATGTGTTGTGTCACTGTTTGTAGAAAATGGTTATACTGGACTCATCTTGTAATCTTCCCTCTGTGGTACAGATTTTTTAGAAGTTATTTTGGGGTAAACTTACAAGATTCAACTCTCATTTCTGTTAGTGTGTCAAGGGATAATAGACATTTGCCAGTGTAGCCTATTGCATTATCACAAGGAAAATAATACTATTCTTAAACAATCAGAGTTGAAGTCATAATTCTTTTTTTTAATGGGTAAGGCTTCAAGGAAAAAGATGAAAAACCAGGTTTTAGCAATGCTATCCTCCTCCATTCTCTGTGGTTTTAGGTTTGATCCTGACTGATGTTGAGGATCCTCGGAGGGAGGGAAGGGACAGAGAATAAAGTGTTGGTGGTAATTGAGCTCTTTGGGATTGGTGCTGCTGACAGTCCCTAAAGATAAAGCACAAGGCCATGGTCTTTTCTGTTTGGGGCTTAAGCTAGATTACTTTTCTCCTTTAGAGCAAAGCTAAGAAGTTTTCTGTTACTATATCCTTTTGGATCCCCCCCACCATGATGTTTTTGTTTTCTTCCTCCTCTATTTTAAGTTTCGGTTCCAATGCATATGCTATGCATTAGTTGTATAGCCTTCTGTAAGACAAGAGGCCTTTAATTAGTGTCGGAGAAGAGAGTCATGAAATGAAAAATCATTTACTGAAAATGAGTTACAGAAATGCCTAACCATACTGCTTATTAGATTATACATGCTAGTATTCAATACTTTATTATATATAAAATATATTTAAAAAATTTTAACTTCAGTTAAACTAGTTTCAAACTTCTGTTTTGTCTGGTTCCCAGTTGATTATCTTGATCTTTGGATTCCTTAGCTAAAACCTTGAAAATTTGTTAATGGTTTACATGAAATGAATATGAAAGTGTGTCTGACAGTGTTAAGTGCATTTAGTGTTAAGTTCTCTTCCCTTCCGTTCTCCACTGAGCCATCTTATTCCTACTTATTCCTATTTATTTCCTTGTTGAAAGAAAAGTCCTAGAGTAACATTTGAAAGGCTTATATTTATGATAAAATTAGACAGAAAGAGGAATTTGAAATGATGTAGAAGAGCAAAAGATGGCAAGTAGAAGAAAAAGAGCTCTGATAAAGTACCTTAGATAGTACAGTTCTTGATAGTGGAAGGAAGAGAGTTAAATTCTTTCTGCTAGTGTTGTTGCTGCTTTTGTAGGCCAGTATTATGTTGAAAGAGGTGTGTTTTGGTTTTGGTTTTGGTTTTAACTTTTATTTAAATAAATGAAAAACTTTTGGCTCATCTGTGTAATTTTGACTGTAAAAGTTTCTCAACCCTCTAATCCTTTCCTTTTGTCCTTAAATTGTCCATAAGTCAGTAAAGGAGAGTACGTAGCTGTTTAGGCAGTAAACTGGGGAATGACTCATACGTACTTCTGAGACAGTAATGGTTATGATGGTAAAATGATGAGCTCTCCATAAGATCACTTGACCCAGTGAACCTCTGAGGAGCTGTTTACATTGTTAGGTGGCAACACAGAACTTTATGGTCATTGTTGATTATTTCATGTGATATATTTTTAGTGTTGCCGATGTTATACTATATATAGCATTGGTAGTTAGGCTACCTTGCTTTGGAAATCGTAGTTCTTTTTGTTGTTGTTTGTTTTGATTTTTTAAATATTTATTATTTATTTTTAAGAGAGGGAGACAGAGACAGAGCATGAGCAGGGGAAGAGCAGAAAGAGAGGGAGATAACTAATACGAAACAGGCTCCAGGCTCTGAGCTGTCAGCACAGAGCCTCACATGGGGCTCGAACTCCCAAGCCATGAGATCATGACTTGAGCCAAAGTCAGATGCTTAACCTTCCCACCCAGGCGCCCCTGGAAACTGTAGTTCTGATACTGTACTCTGTGGCTTATTACCGTTTTCTACTTAGGTATTTTTGATGGTGTTGTGTTCGAACTTATTAAGAAGCACTACAGTCCTTTGATTTCAGGAAGACCTTTTTCATTTATAAATCTTATAGTTAGAAAAGGGAAAGAAGACTCTTTCAAAATTTTGTCCTAAATTTAAAGTTTATGAAATTCCACCAATGTAAATGTTTATAAATGTGCAGTTTCCCTATCTACCATTATATAACGAAATGAGTGGGCATTGAAACAGGGGGAAATGGATGTCCAGAGATTAGATTTCTTTCCCTTGGTTTGACCATTCATTTGCTGTGTGATTTTGTGAAGTTTGTTGTGGTATATTTTCTTGTATAGCTTAAAGATTCTATTTTTCCCAGAAGAATTGTGTAGATAAATATTACATAGTATGTAATGAAAAAATACATATATTTAGGATGTTTATATATTACAATTGCTTTGTTTTTTTTTAAAAAAAATTACTAGAACACTCCTTCAGTGGATTTCAAATGAACTACCATGTATTAGTTGTTTTCCCTTGTTTACAGATTATTTTTAGTCTGTGATCTTCAGTTGAAAGCTTTATTTTTATAGAAAGAAGTTAGTTTTCATTATAATACCTTGTATATATTGGCGATTATATGATAAAATACTTTGCATTTCTCTTAAGGTGTCAAAATTATTTATTAAAAACAAAAACGTGTGCATGATATTTTGTCTCTTTTCAGCTCCAATGATGCATCAGCAGCCTCCTTCTCAACAATACAATATGCCACAGGGAGGTGGGCAGCATTATCAAGGTCAGCAGCCTCCTATGGGAATGATGGGTCAAGTTAACCAAGGCAATCATATGATGGGTCAGAGACAGATTCCTCCGTATAGACCACCTCAACAGGGTAAGTTTACATTTGGGGAATTTCCTGCTTAATATAAATAAAACAGTGGTTGGAAGTCTTTACGTTTTAATTAACTTTTCATATAGGCAACAGGGTTTTGTGTTTCTTGATTTTTAGTAGTATTATTACGTATTTTTTTCTAAAAGGTGGTGGCTATAGTAGGTACAAAGGGTCATGAAGTAGATAGGAACTTCCTGTTACACAGCTTTCTTTTATCTATTTTTTTCTGGGAAAAGGTTATATCATAAAATTTTATATCAAAAGCTCACTAATTTATAGCAGAAAATACAATTTTAGTTTTGAGAAGTTACTTAATATACGGTCATAAACAAGTCCTAGTTTATTCCAAACTGCTCTAATCTCAAAAAGAGAATTAAATTTCTACTAGTTTGAACCTTTTTTAAAGAAGTATTTGTTTTTTTAAGTTGGTATTGTTAAATCCTGCATGTACGGTCATAATAATTTTTGTGAAATGTGGTGTCGCTATGTGTTTATGGATGTGTGTGTATAAGAATAATTCAAAGTATCTCGATTGCCAAAACAAATACAGGTGAGAAATAATTTCTTTCATATATCAGATTAGAAAGAAAGCCTTTGATGACGTAGAGAACAAATTATTTACTTGTTGACTGGTTGTGGTTTTTCAGGCCCACCACAGCAGTACTCAGGCCAGGAAGACTATTATGGGGACCAATACAGTCATGGTGGACAAGGTCCTCCAGAAGGCATGAACCAGCAATATTACCCTGATGGTAAACTCTCCTAATGTTAATTTTCCCATTTTCTATCCCTGCCCAATATTAATGTAGATAGCTGTTCAAAACATTTTAATGAGGATGAAGAAACTAACATTATGTTTCTTCTAAGTTTAGAAACACTTTAACAACCTAAAGCACCAGTGATTGCATTAATGTATAATCTATTTCAAAGTGTATTTTGTTTAAATAGTCCATATTAGTACCATCAGGAATGACATTCTGTCATTGGAATCCTTTCTTACATAAAAGAGGATCCTTTTCTATTTGGAATTGTTCATTTGAACCAGAGCAAATGTTACTGATTCACTTTTTTTAAAAGCAGCTTTATTGAGATAATTCATACACTGTAAAGTTCACCCATTGGTTTACTTTTTTGCATTGTATAAATACATAGAAGAAAGAGTTCTTGAATATTTTTCCAAGTTTTATCATTTTAGTTAATGTTGAATACTGCTCAAAGAACTGTGGTTTATATACATTTGCATTTGAAAAAATTTGGAGGCTAAATTATATCCATAATATAATTTTGTATAGAATTAGTAGAATAGGAAAAGCATTTGGAAACCAGATTTTAGTTATTTAGCTCAATGATTTTTTTTTTTTTTTTTTTTTTAGCGAGAAGGTGGCTTGTGAAAAAGTGGTCACTCAAGATGCATTGTACTTAGTAATGATCCAAGCAGAAGTAGGCTTTCACTGTACAGTGCTTTCAGTTTTTCTGTATGTTTGAAAATTTTATGATAACAGTGTTGAGGAAAAAAATAATCCAAACATATACAACTGTGATAAATTAGAGGTAGCTATTCACGTTACAGTATGATTTGTCTTGTTATGCAAGGATTTGTCAAAACTTCATTTATCCAGTAAGCTCCCTTGGTATATTTAGGTAAACTAATTAACAGAGAAACTTGGAGAAACTAAAAATTAAAAAGCTAAAGTCCTGGGACTGGTGATTTGAACCTAATGTAAACTAGTAAGAAAACAGAATGTGGTGTATTTAAAGAATCATTTAGCCTGCCATTTTTTGGTTCATATTATAAATCATAAAGGTACATCGGTATAAGGACACTGGTTTTTATGCAGAGGCAGAGCAAACACTCTCACCTGTAGAATTTTGCATATGATAAATGTTTGCCAGTGATAGTGAGGGTGTGTACGGATATTTCTTGTTAGAAAATGACAAATTTTTTTAAATCTCAGGTTTTCTTGCCCTGAATATTCATAATGTTGAGTTATTTTCTTTTTTCTTTCACATGTAGATATTACATTAAGATTTTTTTTTTTTGATAAAAAACTTCAGAATGTTTACAGACTGGATATTTTAAAGAAGTGAAATCTAGTTAAATTTTGTGTATTAGGAAGTTTGAAATTAAACATTTGTTTTAATTTTTAAAATACGTTTTACGTAACTGAGTTGAATTTGACGCTATTATTTTGGTTCTGAGTATTTCCAGAAATGTGAAAGGTATATTGTTATAAATATGACCTTTCTGTTCAAAACAGATAGATATATTATTTTTGTATTCAGAACTGTAAATTTATTACATCAGAGAATTAAAAAATCTAAATGGTATCAGTTTTGCATAGGTGTGTATTAATACATTTTTCTGACATTTATGTAGAGTATTCCATTTATAACAACAATTTTCTTATACAGCATTGGATGTTTTCTTACCAGATATTTATGCCAGTAAATATGTAGATTAGGAGTTGGCAAACTTTTTTCTCTAAAGAGGCAGAGAGTAAGAATTTTAGTCTTTGTGGGCCATATGGTCTTAGTCTTAACTACTGAACCCTTGTTGTAGCATGAAAATAGCTGTATAAAATGTGAATGGGCATGCCAGTGTTCCAGTAAAACTTTATTTACAAAAACAGGCCACTGGTCATATTTATACTGCAGGCCATAGTTTGCCAACCCTTAATGTGGATATTTATGAGGTAGTTTGGGAATGTTGGAATCCTAGAACACTTAGTATAACATTTATTCATAACTATTCTGTCTTAATTAGGCATTCTTTGAAAATTTTGATTTTTAGCTAACTGAAGCGTTATGGAAATTTTCTTAGTGCTACTTAGTTAAAAGAACTAGACTATTGATTTTCATTAAAGTCCAGTCATAAAATTTATCGAGCCTTAAAACTAAAGGTGTACTCTAGCACTTAACACAGTATTAATTTTATGAAGGTATATGTTTATGATACTCTAGAAATAGTTTCTAAAGACTTCTATAATGGCACTGTTAAGCAATAATATTCTTATAATATCTGAAGATACTTTATTAGATACATATACTTTATGCAAGTAAATAGAATGTGAAAAATGTGTTTCAGTTTCTTTCAGGGATAAAAACTTGTGGAGCTTTTTTATATTTTGCATTGTTTTAGCATATGCTGTGGAATTGGCGACCAGCAGAACAGGTGTTTGACAAAATATGATAATTGCTTCCTTTGTTCATTCTAATTTAATTCAAGTTATTTACATGTGAAAGGCCTAAATGCTTTCATTCTTTCTTTTTTTAAAAAATTGAAGATGAGGTTTTTCTCCCCCTCCCCCTTGATGAGGATTATCAGTTAAGACTAAGTGTAATGTTTCTAAAACTACTGTTTTTTGCTTTTAAAAATTTGCACGTTATCTCAATATGAAAACAATCACATTGGTAAATATTTGGCTAATGCAATTGAAATTATTTTTTATGTATTTCCATTTCTTTTTCTTTTTTTTCAGTTTTATCTGAAAGTTTAAATATATTTAGGGTTTTCACTCAGTGGCCATTAACGTTTCTTCCTGTCTCTTGTCGAATTGATGTAGGTCATAATGATTACGGTTATCAGCAACCGTCGTATCCTGAACAAGGCTACGATAGGCCTTATGAGGATTCCTCACAACATTACTACGAAGGAGGTATCTATATACCTTCACACACATACACATATATATCCCCTTCTACAGGAATGAAAATTCTTGCATAAACAACTTCTACCCATGCAAAGCTCTTGTAGAATACTAGTTGCTGGCTGTCTTGAAAGTTATAGGGAGCCCAGAACAATTAAAATAATTTCCTTATAAATATTTAAAATGTGTAACCGTGACTTGCCATTTCTAACAACAATAAAAAGACTAAAACATTTAAAAATAAATTTTTCCTCAGTGGAAATTTTCTATTTGAACGTAAATCCATCGGTCCAATTTTTTTTTCTTGTGTGTGTTTACATATGTATAATTTTACATATAAGTATAGTGCCTTTAGGAAACAGCTTGCTGATCTTGTGTAGCTAGTGTGTGCTCTTGTAGCTGTCTTTAATTTTGTCTTTTTTATTTTATTTAGCATAGTCATGATCTTATGACTGTGATGTTCCAGTAAATGTAATGCTCGTATGGCAGAGACGCTGAAAATGCTGCAGTTCAACCTTGCAAAATTGGCTTTAACTGCAGTTTGTTTGGCCGAAATCCTTCTGTTTGGTTTGAGTTTTTTCTTTGTTTTGTTAACTTTCAAAAATCAATATGGCATTTCATTTTGTTCTTGTGTTGTTGGCTATGCATCTTAGAGTAAAAAAAATTAATTAAGCAAACTTCTCAGTGTTTTCTTTTTTCCTCTTCTCCAATTATCCTGTAGGAAATTCACAGTATGGCCAACAGCAAGATGCTTACCAAGGACCACCTCCCCAGCAGGGGTACCCGCCCCAGCAACAGCAGTACCCAGGCCAGCAGGGCTATCCAGGCCAGCAGCAGGGCTACGGTAATTGCTCTTTTGCAGCTTTGTTTTGAAATACTGAAGTGTATATTTAATGTTTATTTTTCTAAGAATTCTCATTTTTGAACATTTACAATTTTATTTAACTGAATCTGTTACTGACTTGAGTAATTTAAAATGTTTTTCTGATAAACTGGTAATCCATTTAAAAAGAAACGTAAACTAGAGATGGTTCATTTGCCAGAGGTAAGGTATGTAATCATTTAAACTGAGTTCTTTAAATGAATTCTTAAACCTCTTTGACATTCATGACCAGCCAGTAGGTTTGTGTGTGCTTGGAAAACTGATGAATTGGGTTGTTATTGACCATATCTATATAATTCACTTAGCAAACTTATTTCTAAAACTAATGACCGTTACTATGAAAAATAACATTGATTTTTGGAGTACAAATGAGATTTATTTGGAATGCATAAAGAAAATGCTTTTGTCATTCTTTGGTTAAATAGCAATATACACAGCCATAGAGGTGTATTTATTGCTGTTGTGTATCCTACAGAGTTTGGGGAAGCATAGCTATATTTTCTTATTAGAAACTCACACTAAGAGTTATAGTAGCTGGATATCTGGGTTTAAATAACTTTATTAGATAGGGAGTGGGGAATGATAAAGACCTGATATCTCATTCTTAAATTTTAGGTTACTGTCACTATATATATAGGAAAATACGGTTCTGATGTTAGAGAAGTAACTGCTTACTAATCTGACATCATCTTTTGCTAACATAGTCTTTTTTTTACATCAGTAATATCTTATTTTTATTCATTATTTTCATCTCTGAGATTTCTATGGGCACCTTTCTCTACTCATTATAGCAAATCTCAGAACAAAAATCAGGTTGAAATTAGCTTGTTTCTTTAACTTATGCATTGAAATTTAGTCAGTTTTGGGAGCCAGGCATTTGATAAGTTCTAACTGATAAGTTCTAGTTCTTTAATTGAGATATGACTGTAGAAATATTCCATGGATGGGGATGCCTGGGTGCCTCAGGCAGTTAAGCATCCTACTTCAGCCCACTTCATGATCTCACAGTGTTTGAGCCCCACATCGAACTCTGTGCTGACAGCTCAGAGCCTGGAACCTGCTTCAGATTCTGTATCTCCCTCTCTCTCTGCCCCTGTCCCACTTGCACTCTCATTCACTCAAAAATAAACATTAAAAAAAATTTTTTTTTAGAAATACTCCACGGATTTCTTGTTTGTTTTTGTTGTTGTTGTTGTTTTTTAAGTGGGCTCCAGCATGGCTTAAACTCACTACCCTGAGATCAACACCTAAGCTGAGATTAAGAGTTAATCAACTTAACCAACAGAGCCACCCAAGTGTCCCGCCGGGATTTCTTGTTTTTACAAAGGAACTTTCTTACTCTTCTCAAATGGTATTTTCATTTCATGACCATTGAATATTTGTGTTTTGAATAAGTATTCTGGTTTTATTGTGTTTATGGGAAAACAAATATGTGGTTGAATTAGGCAAATTCATTTATTTGAGACAAATATTATTTTCCATGGGAAGAGAGAGTAAATGAGATGTAGTATTTTTGGTTAGAATAGTTAACTGCCGTTTTGTTTAACCTTGGGAATCCCAAAGGAGAAGTTCTCATTTTGCTTATTTGTAGCCTTCTGTTGTCATACTTTCTTCTAATAGAAGAGTTAGATTTTTAATAATTGAATGTATAATAATTAAATAAATAATAGACCAATAGAATTTATTTAAGCTTGAAAATTTATTCTCTTTTGACACTTTCCTCTGCCATCAGTGTTTTTATGGCAGATTTTGAATGGCTATGATAGAAAACATTTAAGTGTCAAAGCTTTTCAGCTTATGCTTTATAAAGCATTCTTTACAATAGGCAGTAGTGGAATTTATGAAACAGACATATTTGTTTGGCAAGCCAAATTAGTCCCTTGCTATCTCTGGAATTGGAAATCATTCATTTTTATGGGTTAAGTTTTAAAGGTGATTGGTACACAGAGTGTAACTTTTGAGTGAAGTTTTTTCACATGCAACCTGTGGCTTTTCAAGTATTCTTCAGTTTTGATTTGAAAATGTTGTGATAGTAAGCTTATTAGTGCAGAGAATAAAGCATTCTTTTGGTGGTTGCAAATGTTAATCTAGAATTTCATGGAAAATTACTCTTTTTGATTCTTTGGTGATTACAAGTGTAAATCTAGAGTCATGCGGCTGTAAATACCACTGATTCCCAAACTTTATTCAGAAGTTATTTTAATATTTTAATTTGAATCTGCTGCTTGCTTTTTCTTTGATTTTTTTTTTTACTTTTATTTTTAAAGTTTATTTATTTTGAGAGAGAGAGTGCATGCACATCTGCAGGGGATGGGAAGAGAGAATGGGAGAGAGTCTGACACTGGGCTCGTGAGGCGCTCAGACTCATGAACCATGAGATCATGACCTGAGCTGAAACCAAGAGTTGGACACTTAACTGACTGAGCCACCTAGGGTCCTTCTTGCTTTTCCTTTTACCTGTTGCTTATAGCAGTTAACTTTCTAGTAGAGGTATAGATGAATTTTATTGATACCATGGAATTAACCTGCTTAACAACTCCTGAGTCTCTTTTACATATTTGGGGAAAAAGAAAAAATTAATGACTGACACATAGCTGACTAGTTACACCGAATCAAAACATTTTGTACATGGCAGTATTCTTACAAGATTTTCATTCTTACAACCTTTGGAATTTATTTCAAAAAGCATTGGAGAAGATCAAGATACCGAACTATCCTTTTTTGTTTAGATATAAAAACATAATAGCATCTAGTTCTAAACCCTTGGGAGAGTTCTGTTTTTATCTGTTTTGTTTGTGTTCATTATTTTGCAGGTCCTTCACAGGGTGGTCCAGGTCCTCAGTATCCTAACTACCCACAAGGACAAGGTCAGCAGTATGGGGGTTATAGACCAACACAGCCTGGACCACCACAGCCACCACAGCAGAGGCCTTATGGATATGACCAGGTAAATTATTTGGCCAACTGTGTGATGGCCCCATTATTTGTTCACTTTTGATAAGGTTGTTTTTCACTTGAAGGCTCATTTTTCCCTCCTCCTGTTCATAGTATGAGTTAACAAAAAAATTTACTTTTAAGTCTTTTTCATAGAATGCAAGCACAGTTGATCATAGTTACTGTCACATGTAAAACATGTCTTATCTTTGTACCCCAGCATTCATTGATACTCATTCATATTCTCTTTCTCTCTCTGATCTCTACCCAGGCATACTTCCTGTAGGCATTCCAGACGTCATTCCCTCTCCTTTTTTTTTTACTTTAATCTTTATTTTTGAAGAGAGAGAGCCAGAGCACAAACAGGGAAAGGACAGAGAGAGAGGGAGACACAGAATCCAAAGCAGGCTCTGGGGTCTGAGCTGTCAGCACAGAGCCCGACGCAGGGCTTGAACTCACAGACCGTGAGATCATGACCTGAGCCGAAGTCTGCCACTTAACTGACAGAGCCACCCAGTCGCCCTTGATTTCTCTCATCTCCATCACATTTGTTGCTGAAGACTGTGCATTGATTGACATACAGGAATATGGAATCCATCTGTCAATGTTCTTAGTAGCTCTTGTCTTTGCTTCAGCATACCCATTACCTTCTGCCACATTTGTGGCGTCCTGTGTCTTTAAATTCATACTCACTTCTGCCTCTTTTGCCTCCTTTCATACACATATCCATTATCTCAAGTATTAAAAATCTTTATCTCCGGTTACCTGTCCTTCTACATATATATAGAGCTGTATCTCATCCTAAGAGGACTATATCCTCTTGAACCCTTTAAGTTCCTTCTTTTCATTAGTAAACTTTTTAGACTTCCTAATCTGTGCCACAGTCATTGTTTTCTGAATCTTGCTATTATACAAACTAAATTATAGTGAAAATGATGTATTATGTTGGCAGTTTCTTTAGATTGATTTCAGATTTGTCTAATGACCTACTAGTGGGGATAATCTGGTCTGCTCACTACTGAAGCTACCTAAAACAGGTGATTTTTTTGTTTGTTTGTTTTGTTAGTTGTGGTTCCAGGGCCAGTGTAGGTGACCTGGTTTGAGGAACCACTCAGTGTAGTAGTAACTAGAACTTGAGGTATGAGCAGTTCTTCTATCAGTGCTCTCTCAAGCCTATAGCCCCTTGTCCTGATACTTCCTATGTAAGTGATAAAGGTAAAGATAAAAGAGACTTAAACTAAAAGGGTAAAAACAAATGAGTAATATTTTTAAAAATATAGTCACTAGATCAAAGGGTTAGGCAGAAATTTTATTTAAAAAGTAAAATAAGTCTTGGCTAATGAATGTTTAAAGGGAAGATTTCTGAGCGAAGATTTAGGCTCATTCTAATCCACAAGTTAACTTTTTACTTTTTTTTCTTTAATGTTTTATTTATTTCTGAGAGAGAGAGAGAGAGTGTGAGAGAGCGAGTGAGTGAGCCTGAGCAGGGGAGGGTCAGAGAGAGAGGGAGACACAGAATCTGAAACAGGCTCCAGACTCTGAGCTGTCAGCATAGAGCCCAACGCGGGGCTCGAACCCACAAACCGGGAGATCATGACCTGAGCCGAAGTCAGACGTTTAACCGACTGAGCCACCCAGGTGCCCCACAAGTTAACTTTTTAATTTTTATCTATTTTTAATTAATTAATTAATTGATTGATTTTTTGAAGTAGGCTCAACACCTGATGTGGGGCTTGAACTCATGATCAAAGAATCAGATGCTTTATTGACTGAGCCACCTAGGCACCCCCCACAAGTTAACTTTTTAAAAAATGAGCTTCAGATCATTTATTGTCTCAGTCAGCAAATGTTTATTAATTATCTACATGTGCTGGACACTGTATTAGGTCCTGGAGGAGTTAAAACAGACATAGTTCCTGTGGCTGGTGGAAAAACTGTCTTGGTCTTTGTTAACTTTACTTTTGAATGTTTATTATTTATTGAGAGAGAGAGAGAGAATGTGTGTGTATGTGTGTGTGCGCGCGCACGTGGGTGCGTGCGCGCACGAGCAGGTGAGGGACAGAGAGAGGGAGAGAGAATCCCGAGCAGGTCCACGCTCAGCACAGAGCCCCGGGGCTCAATCCCACGACCATGAGATTCTGACCTGAGCCAAAAATAAGAGTTGGACGCTCAACTGACTGAGCCACCCAGGCGCCCTTCTTGACTTCACTATTGACACATTTGACACATGTTCCTGTTTTTGTTCTTAAATGGTCTTCTTTGCTTATTACTGTGCTTTTTTATTTCTCTTGGATTTCTAGTGATTCCTTCTTTATTTTTTTACTTGTTTCTTATCTTTCTTTTAACTAAATATCCATGCTTGGCTCAGTGCTTTTCTTGGTCTCTCTACTTGCCCTGTGTTTATTTTTAGTATCCTTAGCCCCATCCTCTGCAACCCCACTTCAGCTCCATTTTTTTCATCTTGTACAGAACATCTCTCTTTTGGATGTCTTGCCACTTCCATCAACTTCAGAATGTTGTGGACTAGACTAACCATTTTCTCTCTAAATGGTGTTATTTCTAAATCCCCTAAGCTTAACGTCAGTGATTAAGTAAATGTTTCTTGAGCAATATTTATATGCCAACTATCCACGATCAGGGTACATTGGGAAATAAGACAGACATAACCTCTGCCTTTATGAACTTAAATCTAGGTGAGATCCAGAAAAATAAACAGATGATATATTATAGTGTGAGAAGTACTTAACGGCAAGATTTTTGTGGAAGGGGGCTCCTAATCTAGATCACAGAAAAAATGTTCTTTGGGAAGTATTATAATAGTGTCAGGGCCCAAGGATGAGTGGGTATAGACAAGTAGACATAGAAAAGGGAAGTGTATTCTGGTCAGAAAGGAAAGTGCATCACAAAGGACTAATGTTGAGGGGTGTGGATGAGTGAAGCAGAGGCATGAGGAAGGAGAGGCAAGATTGGAGAGAGAAGTGAGGTTCAGATTGGCAAGATTCTCACAAGCCATGTTAGGGGACTTGGACTTTATCCTGACATTTGGAGCCTTTATGAAACGTTTTAAACGATGTATATAATGTGTTAACTGTGCCTGGCACTTGGCGAACATGATACATGAAATTATGTATTGTGATAATATAACATATATGATAGATTTATGATACACTACCTCTTTCATTATAATTATTCCATTCCCTAAAGTTCTTGGGAATTTGGGACGGCACTACAGATAAAGACTCATGATGTTTGTGCCAGCCACATCTCCATCCCCGTTAGAAAAGGCAATGAAGAGGGGACCATTTTAATTACTCTAGTGTTAGTAGTCTGCCCATATTTATCATAGATTTCACCTTATCTGTGTCCCCCAATCCAAACACTTGTTGGTATTTTTATTTTAGGGAAAGTAGTTCAACTCTTCAAGATAATGAAGGGAATAGAAAACTAATACAGATTCTTAAATCCAATAGTAATGTGCTTATAGTGGTGGTTGAGGCAGATGACTCAATGGCAGTGTGCAGGATGAAGTAAAAGGGGGAAAATTGAGAGAGAAAGTCTTGCTAGGGGCTGCTGTTTTGATTCTTTCAGTTCCTCAGGCTAAAAACCTGGAGTCATCTTGGCTTTCCTCTTTTTTTTCCAAATCAAACATCTTGTGAGCCAGCAAATTTTCATCACCTTTTCAAAATAAATCCAGTATCTGACCCAGTTTTTACAACCTCCTGCTCTTACCCAAGTCAAAGTTACAACTGTCACTCACCTGGACCATTGCAGTACCCTCCTCCCTGGTCTTCTGCTCCTGTCGTAGCTCTGCTATAGGATACGCTCCACATAGGACCCAGGGTGATCTTTTAAAAACATTCATCAGATTATGCCACCCCCTGCGGAAAGCCCTGTGGTGACTTCAGTCTTACGTAAAGTAAAAGCAAGACGTTAGAATAACTTGTAAAGTCCTACATGACTTGTGCCCCCTCTATGTGTCCCACCACTTCATCTCTGTATTTTTAAATTATTTTAATGTTTGTTTATTTACTTTTGAGAGAGAGAAAGAGCAAGCACACAAGTGGGGAAGGGGCAGAGAGAGAGACACAGAATCCAAAGCAGGCTCCAGGCTCTGAGCTGTCAGCACAGAGACTGACGCGGGGCTTGAATTCAGCCAACTGCAAGATTATGATCGGACGCTTAACTGACTGAGCCACTCAGGCGCCCCTCACTTCATCTCTGTATTTATAGCTGCCCTCATTCTCTTTGCTTCAGTCAGTTTACTCTTCCTTAAACACATCAAGCGTATTTCTACCTCAGAACCTTTGTATTTGTTGCATCCTTTCTGCCAGAACTCTTCCCTAAGATGTATAGTTGTCTTCCTCCCTTTCTTCAAATCTCTGCTCTGATATGTCATCATATCATATCAAGGAGTCTTTGTGCCTATGTAAAATAGTAACGACTTGGCATTGCCTCACTTTATGATAGCCCCTGTTTACCCACAAAAAATGTGTTCTAAGACCCTCAGAAACCTCAGATAGTACTGAACCCTATATATATTATATTTGACCTATGCAAATATACCCATGATAAAGTTTAATTCATAAATGAGGCACAGTAAAAAATTAACTACAGTAAAGAAGAGAAGAATAAATGTAACATTATGTTGTAATAAAAGTTATGCAAATGTGTTCTCTCTCAAAATATCTGATTGTACTGTACTCACCCTTCTTGTGATGATGTGAGCTGATAAAATGTCTACATGATAAGGTGAGGTGAGCTGATTGACATAGGCATGTGACATACCGTTGGGCTGCTGTTGGCCTGACGGTATGTCGGTATGTCGGGAGAATCATCTGCTCCTGAACCACAGTTGACCACGGGTAACTTAAACTGTAGAAAGCAAAACTGTGGATGAGGGGGAACTACTGTATTTGCCTATCCTTTTGTATTTAAACAACTTTTTTTTTTGAAGTATTACTGACATACCATAAAGTGCACATATTAAAAGTACACACTTTGATACTTTTTGAG